TATATGATATATATATATATATATATATATATATATATATAATTGTATCTGTTGTTTGGCTTGTGTGTTTGGCTTAATGTTGTGTTAGAATCATTGTTATACTATTATACTTTTTGTTAATATTTTGAATTGATTTTATTTTACTTTTTTTTGTTTTCATTTTAATTTTAGAAATTTTGTTGTATGCATTTGTCATTTTTATTCTCTATTTCTTAAATATGTGTATATATAGTATTTAGTTTTGGTTTAGTTTTAGTTGTTTTAATGCTACACTTCAACTCAAACTAAATGAAAATGAGAAATGTTGTTTGGCAACTAGCTGAATTTTTCTTTATATATTTTGTTTTTATTTCAAGTAATGAAAATGTTTTTAATGGTTTTAGTTAATAATATTAACCTACTTTGGCCGATTTCTATGCAAATGTATTTGCTCATTATTATGTACCATCTAACAGGAATTAGAGATGAGGAGCGTCAGATTCTGGAACAAACAGGATATTTTCAGAGCATTACAGTCGGCGTGGCACCTATCGTCGTGGTGATTGCCAGTGTGGCCACATTCTCCACCCACATGTTGCTAGGTTATGATCTTACCGCTGCACAGGTAGGGTTACATTGCTTGTTTGGAGGTGTAGGCATTACCACAGTATTGATGTACTCATGCACTGACTCTATTTCATTTCTTTTTTTCCAGGCATTTACTGTCGTCACTGTTTTCAATGCCATGACCTTTGCCTTAAAGGTCACCCCATTTTCTGTCAAATCTCTATCGGAGGCATCTGTCGCCATCGATAGGTTCAAGGTGAGCTTCCTCTCCTTCTTTCTCCAAATAGTTACTTCTACCTTTGTCAAGTCTGGTAGTGTGTATTTTGCGTGCTGTTCTCACAGGAACCCTGTTCCTGTAAATCCAGGTATGGTATCATTGAGGTATGTTTGATATGGTCCAGGTGGATGATCTTGGGGAAGTGACTGAATAAGACGGTGAATGGGCCTGTTCTTGATGCAATATTGAAAAGCTCCAGTTGACATCAAACTCACTTCTATCTTTCACTTAATCATGCAGATTATATCTTCGTTTCTTCTGTTTCTGACTTCAGTGGCAGATGACAAAAATCACATGAAGTCCATTTTACATGACTTGGATCATGCTTCAATAAACTTCCACATCAAATGTATTGGAGATAACTGTTATAAAGGGGCAATTTTAGGAAGTTGTTAAAATAGGAAAATGACAGTGGACACAATAAAGAGTCAAATATTATGAGAGCAAAATTATTTCATTTTTTCAAAATTATTTACATCTCCGGATGCTTAACTTCATACATCTGGATCAGGCTCTCTTCCACCTTGTTTTGATTTTTGTGCCAGCATCACGCACGTAACAATAGAGCGCTGCAGTGATGACGTGTGTTTGTAGGCCAACCCTGAAGTTCACATCACCCTTTTTCCTTTGACAGAGATACAAAACGCTCATCCACCAAACGATGCTAACCTGTGGCGTGGAATTAACAGTAGACCAGTATCTGAAGAGCGTAGTGTGTGAACTGGGGAGTAAGTATGAATGAGATCAGAAATATATGGGGGGGCGAGACCATGAAGTGCTTTGAAGGTGATGAGGAGAATCTTGTATTGAATACGAAAACGAACGGGTAGCCAATGAAGTCTGTGTAGGATGGGAGTAATGTGAGAAGATTTCTTTGAAAAAGCGAGAACCCTAGCTGCAGAGTTCTGGATATATTGGAGCTTATTTAATGTTATGTTTGGTAGACCATAGAAAAGAGAATTACAGTAGTCGAGTCAAGAAGTAATGAAGGCATGAACCAGTGTCTCAGCATCATTGATATTTAAGAAGGGACGGAAGCGAGCGATATTACGGAGAGAAGGCAGATTTAGTGAGTGAAGAAATGTGAGGTAGGAAGGAGAGAGGGGAGTCAAAGATTATACCCAGGTTTTTAACGGTGGTGGAAGGTCGAACCAAGATCCCGGCAATGTTAGCATTGTCAGCACAGAAAGGAGCAACATTTTTTGGTGAACCAACAAGTAGTAGATCTGTTTTATCAGTGTTGAGTTTGAGAAAGTTACTGGTCATCCAAGCATTTATATCATCAAAGGGGTCATATGATGCGATTTCAAGTTTTCCTTTCTCTTTGGAGTGTTACAAGCTGATTGTGCATAGATAAGATCCCTGTATTGAGAACTGATATAGAGCGGGGTGTCATCTGCATAGCAAGTTGAAGCCGTGATGACGGATAATGTTACCTAAAGGGAGCATATAGATGATGAAGAGTAAAGGCCCAAGAACCGAACCCTGAGGAACACCGTGAGAGACAGGAGCAGTAGAGGACTTAGCCTGGCGCAAAGCAATGTAATGCTGACGGTCAGACAGGTAAGAAGTGAACCAAGATAGGGCAGTTCCAGAAATACCAAGAACAGAGAGTTGTGAGATGAGAATACTGTGAGAGATAGTGTCAAAAGCAGAGGAAAGATCTAACAGAATTAAAATGCTAATGGCGCCTGAGTCAGTGGCCATAAGGAGGTCATTGACAACCTTAAGAAGTGCTGTCTCAGTGCTGTGAAGAGTGCGAAATTTAACCAAAAACCCATTAAAAAACATTGACTTCAAGACGATTGAACCAGAAGTGCTAAAATACAAACTCGTCTTTGGTTTTGGCCTGCAAAAATATATCATCCCTGCAGCACACTTAAGTGATGCATTTCAAATGGTCAGCGGCAAACAAAATCCAAATTAAGATTGTTGCATTACAACCCTGGACATGCTTGCTTTGTGTGATGGAACGGCTGCCTCCCTCTAATTTTCATCGACACCCCGTCCCCTTAATCGCCGCCCTTCACCAGGCTCCCGACAGTGTTGTGTGGGTCCAGGAAGGGAGTGTGGAGAGACTCCCGAGCTGCCAGACCCACCGCGCTTAAGGGGTTTAACAGCCCAGCATCCTAGCCCGTCGGCAGCGTCACGGGTGCATCTCCATTCCGGACCATGGGTCCGGCAGCTCACGTCTTCACGCTCCCTGCACATGAACTTGGCATTGCGGTGTGGAGTGAAGAAAAAGACAGATTGCAAAATATGCAGACATCTTCAGTCAAATGAAATAATATAATAGCAAGAAAAGAGACAAACAGCCTCTGTGCACTCTGTTAAATTTAGCACCTCTAAATGAAACAATTGTCCTGCGAGACGGGCTCATTTAATCTGTTTTCTCTCTGTTTTTTCATTTTCCTCCAGAGTTTGTTCATGATGGCCGAGGTCAAGATGATCCGTGAGCTCCCAAGTAATCCTTCCGTTGCCATAGAGATGACTGGTGCCAGTTTGGCTTGGGAGACGGGCGGACACAGCGCCCAGCCTTCGCCTCGCGGTACACCCTATGTAGGCCTTGGAATTAGAGGGTGTCATAAGAAGCGCCGGCAGCGTGACGACCCAAAACATCACGGGATGTTGGAAGAGGAAACGCATGGCCAGCTGTTGAATGATGTGTCTGTAGACATGGCGTCCAGTCCTGACGATCAAGCCCTTCAAGTGCCGACCATTAGCCAACGGCTGCAAAGAACTCTTCACTGCATCGATCTCTCCATACAAAAGGTCTTTGCCTTTCTGAATGCTCATTTGGTTGATTTGTGATGGTAGAGATAACAAGGAATAATCATACTAATGATCATTTCTGTGTTTAAATCTTTAGGGGAAGCTGGTCGGTGTCTGTGGCAGTGTGGGAAGCGGCAAAACTTCTCTCATCTCTGCCATTCTTGGCCAGGTGAGCGATTGTCTGATTTGAAACATAAAAAAAGAGCAGCTGTCCTTTGTCTACGTTAAAGGCATCATGCATTAGATGTGTTCCGAAATCCTCTTATCTGTTACAATGCCTGATGTGTGTATCCCAGATGACTCTTTTAGAGGGGATTGTTGCTGTAAATGGAGATGGCCAATCACAACGCACTGGGTCAGCTGGCCAATCAGAGCAGACTGCGCTTGTCGGAAGGAGGGACTTTGTAGAAAACGAAGCGTTTGAGAGAGGCGGGACATAGAGGACCTACAATAATGTACAGTATTTGAAAAATAATGTGTTTTTTGAACATTAAAGCATGTCAACATATTCTGTTACACCAAATACACCAAATAATGATCTTTAAAAAAGCATCATATGACCCCTTTAATACAAGCTGATATGGAGTTGGTGGGAAAGGGAGAGTTGTGTTGAGAACTGATATAGAGCTGGGTGTCATTTGCATAGCAGTGGAAGTTGAAGCCGTGATGACGGATAATGTTACCTAAAGGGAGCATATAAATGATGAAGAGTAAAGGCCCAAGAACCGAACCCTGAGGAACACCGTGAGAGACAGGAGCAGTAGAGGACTTAGCCTGGCGCAAAGCAATGTAATGCTGACGGTCAGACAGGTAAGAAGTGAACCAAGATAGGGCAGTTCCAGAAATACCAAGAACAGAGAGTTGTGAGATGAGAATACTGTGAGAGATAGTGTCAAAAGCAGAGGAAAGATCTAACAGAATTAAAATGCTAATGGCGCCTGAGTCAGTGGCCATAAGGAGGTCATTGACAACCTTAAGAAGTGCTGTCTCAGTGCTGTGAAGAGTGCGAAATTTAACCAAAAACCCATTAAAAAACATTGACTTCAAGACGATTGAACCAGAAGTGCTAAAATACTAACTCGTCTTTGGTTTTGGCCTGCAAAAATATATCATCCCTGCAGCACACTTAAGTGATGCATTTCAAATGGTCAGCGGCAAACAAAATCCAAATTAAGATTGTTGCATTACAACCCTGGACATGCTTGCTTTGTGTGATGGAACGGCTGCCTCCCTCTAATTTTCATCGACACCCCGTCCCCTTAATCGCCGCCCTTCACCAGGCTCCCGACAGTGTTGTGTGGGTCCAGGAAGGGAGTGTGGAGAGACTCCCGAGCTGCCAGACCCACCGCGCTTAAGGGGTTTAACAGCCCAGCATCCTAGCCCGTCGGCAGCGTCACGGGTGCATCTCCATTCCGGACCATGGGTCCGGCAGCTCACGTCTTCACGCTCCCTGCACATGAACTTGGCATTGCGGTGTGGAGTGAAGAAAAAGACAGATTGCAAAATATGCAGACATCTTCAGTCAAATGAAATAATATAATAGCAAGAAAAGAGACAAACAGCCTCTGTGCACTCTGTTAAATTTAGCACCTCTAAATGAAACAATTGTCCTGCGAGACGGGCTCATTTAATCTGTTTTCTCTCTGTTTTTTCATTTTCCTCCAGAGTTTGTTCATGATGGCCGAGGTCAAGATGATCCGTGAGCTCCCAAGTAATCCTTCCGTTGCCATAGAGATGACTGGTGCCAGTTTGGCTTGGGAGACGGGCGGACACAGCGCCCAGCCTTCGCCTCGCGGTACACCCTATGTAGGCCTTGGAATTAGAGGGTGTCATAAGAAGCGCCGGCAGCGTGACGACCCAAAACATCACGGGATGTTGGAAGAGGAAACGCATGGCCAGCTGTTGAATGATGTGTCTGTAGACATGGCGTCCAGTCCTGACGATCAAGCCCTTCAAGTGCCGACCATTAGCCAACGGCTGCAAAGAACTCTTCACTGCATCGATCTCTCCATACAAAAGGTCTTTGCCTTTCTGAATGCTCATTTGGTTGATTTGTGATGGTAGAGATAACAAGGAATAATCATACTAATGATCATTTCTGTGTTTAAATCTTTAGGGGAAGCTGGTCGGTGTCTGTGGCAGTGTGGGAAGCGGCAAAACTTCTCTCATCTCTGCCATTCTTGGCCAGGTGAGCGATTGTCTGATTTGAAACATAAAAAAAGAGCAGCTGTCCTTTGTCTACGTTAAAGGCATCATGCATTAGATGTGTTCCGAAATCCTCTTATCTGTTACAATGCCTGATGTGTGTATCCCAGATGACTCTTTTAGAGGGGATTGTTGCTGTAAATGGAGATTTTGCATATGTGGCACAACAGGCCTGGATTCTCAATGCATCCTTCCGTGACAATATCCTGTTTGGCAAGGAAATGGAGGAAGAGAGGTGAGCACCAAACAAAAGGAAAATGTAAAGGCCCCAAAATACTAACAGCAAAGTTCTCTTTAATTATTCACTTAATAAAAAGAAAATCAAAATACTTAAGCAATGGTTTACTGTTAGCAAACACCCCAATTTCGTCCGTTCTCCTGAGAGCGGCATTTAGATGAATATGTAAATATGTGCTGCTCGTTTTCCTCAAAATAAACACAACAATAATGACAGCAGTGAGAAAACAGCAGTCAAGAAAGCATCTGATCATAGTGATGTGGATATGTTTGCACCAGTTCTGTAATTCAGCACTACAGTGAAGTTAAGTCACGTCACGTTTGTTTATTAGCAATTTATACAATAGATTGCTTTAAAGCAGCTTAACAGTATTAACTCCTTCCCCACCACCGCTAGCATTTTTGATCATTTTCACAAAAGTTTTAATTGCCCCCAGAATATTTTGTTCTCATCAGAGCCTCTGATTTAAACAAAAAAACCTGTTTTATTCTAGCTTCATGCAGTCTTTTTTTATCAACACTTGAATGTGGGCAAATTTCATGAAAAAAGCAACATTTTGACCAAAAAGCTGCTAAAATCGCGTTTTTGTCAAAGACTACATCTGGATCAGATTCAGAACGATGATCAAAACATAGATGGTGTAGATCGCTTCCATCCTTGCAGGATCCTCAAACACTTCCTGGATCGTCATTTCATTCGGTAACGTTGGGCAGTTTAGATTTATATGCTGTTTAATGTTTGATGATTGTCATTTTACACATGCATCTGCTTACATACGCGATCGCTTGTTTCTGCTTCTTCACCGTGTTTGATCCAGAGATTCAGTGCTTTTTCAGAAGGTGCGTAATAGCGCCTCCTACCGTACACCAGTAAAAACACGGGAAGATGGAAATTTCCGTTAATGGCGGGGAAAGAGTTAAACATGAAAAAACAGTGTCAAAGTCACTTTCAATTAAAATTACAACCTCAGTTTCTACTATAAAGCAGCTCTCCAGTGTGTTCATGAATAAAAGAAATGAACCTTATGTTATGTAATCGCCACAGACCAATCATTTCGAACTTCCGAAACAAACTCCAAATGGACTTCATTTTGGCCTGATTTTGTTCAAATTGTGAACAAATATTCTTCAAAATGATGAGTATCTTGGGGCCTTAATAATGGAACATGTCAGTACTGAGTAATGTGTTTGAGTTTAGTGTGAAGGAGACTAAAGGGCTGAGCGAGTGAAATGGGGCTGCAGGCGAATTAGTGAACTCAGCACGAAGATAAAATGAGCACACATGACCTTGAGCGCTTGTGTTTGTCATTAAATAGCCTCCACATTTTCCTGATATATTAATAACTGTATTGACACCTTACCATAGAAGAGTAAGCACTTTCGTTTTTTTAATGCAGGACATTTTATTCTTCCATGTCTTTTATTTGTCTCCTGCAGGTATCAGGCTATTCTGAGTGCTTGCTGCTTGAGACCAGACTTGGCCATCCTCCCTAATGCTGACCTGACTGAGGTAACGCATCCTACACAAAAATCAAGATCCTCGTAAGCCCATTATGCACTGCATTATTTACACACACTGAATGCATCATTCTGTACTTGTAATGCATTCTTATGTTCAAGGCGGCAGGCCAAAACAGTGAATCTAATCACTATACCAGCAAATGTTCACTTCAGGAATGAACAATATGGCAAAAGTTAGGTGTTTGAAAAAAACAGCACAAAAGGAAATAATATTATCATTTTTCAGACCACAAAAATACAGGTGAAGATGCAATGGAAAACTGTCACATTGTAGGCGATCGAAACACACGATTTTACTCGATGACAACAGAAATCCTTTAGGATCCCAGAAATTTGTTTCAAATGTCAAAATTGTGGCTAAAATTGTACAGTGTGCACCAGGCTTTAGAGCTGAGCTACTAATACAATACTAATACATTGACAAAACACTAAACTCCCCTTTAAATGACGGTATAATCGGGGCCAATCTTTTGAAAAGTGGTGTGATTTCTTCTGTCAGATTGGAGAACGTGGTGCCAACCTGAGCGGCGGGCAGCGTCAGCGGATAAGCCTGGCTCGAGCTTTATACAGCAACAGGGGTATTTACATACTTGATGACCCTTTAAGTGCTCTGGATGCTCATGTCGGAAATCACATCTTCAACAACGCCATCAGAAAACATCTGCGTGGCAAGACTGTCATCTTTGTCACTCACCAGCTACAGGTATTATAATGTCATGCCCGGTGGAGTGAGATTCCTATGAATTTTTCATTCAACTTCCAAAAAAACTGTCCTGTTTCTGTTGTCAGTATCTGGTGGACTGTGATGACGTGATCTTCATGCGTGACGGCAGCATCACAGAGCAGGGCAGCCATGAGGACCTGATGAATCTGAATGGAGACTACGCCGCCATGTTTAACAACCTTCAACTGGGAGAAACACCAATCATTGAGGTCAGAAAACCCCAAAATGAAAACTGTCATCATTTACTCACCCGCATGTCAGGATGATCCTCAAACATCAAGAACCAATGGGGTTTGACTATAGTTGACACATGAGGTTCAAGGAATAAAGATTTTAATTTTTGATGTCGCTTCAGAAGACTTGAATTATACCAGTCGAGTCTGGATGAATTAATTTCACTTGTTTTGTTTTTTTGAGCTTTAAAGTTTTGGGTCCCATTGAATTTTATAACATGGACAACACATCTGAAGCACTCTTCAATTATCTTCTTTTGTGGTCTACAAAATAAAGTCATACAGGTTTTGAATGACACTAGGGTTTGTAAATGATGAAAGAACATCATTTTTGGGAGAACTATCCCTTAAGTTCAAGTCATCATTCTCCTCGTGTTTTTCCAAACCCCGTATGACTTTTTCTTCTGTGAAACACACGTTTTGAATGTCTACACAGCTCTTTTTCAACAGCTCCATCGGTTCTTGCATGATTTTTGCATATGCACAAATGAGATCCAAGCCATGGTGGAGCTTTCAAATCTGTCATTTTGTGTCCTCTCAGGTTCCGAATAAGAACTCTGGGAGTTCCTTGAAGAAACCCTTAGAGAACAAGAAGGCAGGATCTGTCAAAAAAGAAAAAACGGCCAACCAGGGTGATGGTAAGTACGAGTATGCTAAACACAGTAAATTACACTGAGCTCTACTTGACTGAGGCTTTGATTTACCTCACTTCTGTCTGTTTTCTTTCAGGTCAGCTGATGCAGGTGGAGGAGAGAGGGAAAGGCTCAGTGCCCTGGGCGGTGTACAGAGTCTACATCCAGGCTTTAGGAGGGTGGCCCGTCTTCCTCTTCATCCTTGCCCTCTTTGTTCTCAATGTGGGCAGCACAGCCTTCAGCAACTGGTGGCTCAGCTACTGGATCAAACAGGGCAGCGGGGTAAGAGAACATGGGCAGTTCGAAGCAACGGAAAGGCAGAAAGGCTTCAATTCCATGAGACCAGAGTAGAAGTGTTTAAATATTTCATGTGCTTCTGACCTTTACCATTGGTTCGTTTCTTTTCTTTCTAGAGCTGTTACTGTTAGTGTGTCTTCACACATTGGAAATTACATATCACAAATGATCGCCAATTATATTAGTTTTGGCCACAAAACTCATGCACTAAAGTATCAATATTAAAAAAAGTCTTTATCTTGGTCTTTACTGGCTAAGTGTGATACGACTGATCTTTGTGTCATATTCATTATTTCTGTATTAACAAATAAATATTAATTGGATATTTATTTAAAGTCACCATGAAATAAAAATGTATAGTTCTTTTTTTATGGAATTTTGCAGTATTTATAATAAACGATGTATCTGTGCACATCATTATTTTTTTAAATAATGCCCTCAGTCCTTAACCACAAACATTAACTTTGCAACGACATCTCTTCTAGCAACCTGTCACTCACATGAGATTGCAGCAATTAGCAAACAACAATGATCCAATTCATTCTCGGTTGATTGCAACTTCCATTTTAGGCCGACTTTGAAGATTAAAACAATAACTATGTTACATACCATGAACCAACCTCAATGTAAATGGATCGTGTGTGTGTGTGTGTGTGTGTGTGTGTGTGTGTGTGTGTGTGTGCGCAAACACCGCAATTCTATAATTCTACAATTCTACAATATAATATTGAACCTTTTGGTACAACATCCACTGCTAACTGTATTGTTGCATCCCTAATATATATGTACACACAAATGTTCATTCATTACCATGTTCTACTGTATAATGCAATGCGTCTGTGGTTTCTTGCTCAACAGAACACGACGGTGCAGGTGGGGAACAGTTCAGTACTGAGTGAGAGTATGCGTGATAACCCTCTGATGCAACACTATGCTGCTGTCTACACCATGTCTATGGGAATCATGCTCATTCTCAAACTACTGAGAGGCATTATGTTTGTTAAGGTGTGTTTTTACATCATATAGTTACTTGTATAGCGATTATTGTTATGCATGATGGTCTTGCTGTGTCAGAGAATGAGCTCCACGTTTCAGCAGGTGATCTTTTGATTTTTTTTTTTTTTAAGGGTACTCTGCGTGCCTCCTCGAGGCTCCATGATGAACTTTTCCAGAAGATTCTTCGTAGTCCCATGAAATTTTTTGACACGACGCCCACGGCTCGCATCCTCAACCGATTCTCCAAAGACATGGATGAAGGTGGGACCTGATGGAGGGTTAGACTGTAGCACTATCATGAGATATTGGCTACGTTCACACTGCAGGCGAATGTGGCCCAGATCTGATTTTTTTTGCTCACGTTACTCAGATCTGTTTTTCTCATGACAGTGTGAACAGCACAAACCACATGGAATCTGATCTTTTCAATTCTGATTTGTGCCACTTCCATATGTGGTACTAAATCCGATACAGGTCAGATGTTTTGCAATGCGACCGCAGTCTGAACAGTCATATTGGAATTCATGCGACTTTTACGTCACTCTAGATCAACATGTGTCACGATTCTGCACTCATGGAAGTCACCTCAAAGATTTTACCAGTTATCAAGACAATTGCGAAAGGTAGTCAGTGGAAGTACAGTGACGTGTCAGAACTCATACGTATTACAGTGACAACTCTATATTCAAGCAAAACATGAGGGCTCGTATCATAAAAGTTTCAAAACTCTGCTCTCTTCTGTCACATTCTTGTCTTTATTTTTCATATTGCCTGCACATAATTTAGGTGGATTCTGCGGCAGATCACACTATAAATAAATGCATAATTGCTTACTTTATGTCCTCCGTGTTTACTTCCGTATGACGTGTTGAAGTGTTTCCAAGTCCACAGTTTTCCCGCAGAATTGGGCTACTTTTTCACTGTTGCCGCGGGTTGTTTTTCAACTCCGTGGGTTAAAGCGACCCCACTAACACGATGTTTAACTGAAGTGGCATTTAGATGTATTTACACTGCAGTTACAATTGCATAAATAATGTCATGAGATTAGTGTTTTAAACATAATATTTTGGATATCGAAATATTAAATTATTTGTAAAAAAAATGTAATGGTATTTTAAATATGAAATTAAAACTACCATTAGGTGGGTGCAAGTCTGAGTGAGTCACTGAGTCATTTACTCAACTGATTCATTCAAATGTATCATTTAGGAATGATGCAAGTGACTGTCTTTATGAATGAATTTGTTTTTGTTGATTTGTTTAAAAATGCCGATTCATTCAGGAACGAAAAATCTACTGTTGCTTAGTTCTTTTATGGCTTTGTTTGGAACTTTTTTTGTTGATGAAATGGAGCATAGAGAAAAACAGACAATAACCCCTAAAATGTACCTCACAATATTAACTTATTGAACTTTATTGAATGGTTGTGCAAAATTAATATTGCTATCATAGACGATACATATCACACACCTATGGAAGCCCGTTTCCGCCACTGAATAAAAAATAAAAAAGGTAATTGCGACTTTTTATCTCACAATTCTGACTTTTTTTCTCAGAATTGCATGATATAAACTCACAATTGCGAGTTAAAAAGTCATAATTGTGAGATGTAAACTCGCAATTGCGAGATATAAACTCACAATTCTTTTTTTCTCGCAATTCTGGCTATAACATGCAATTGCGAGAAAAAAAAGTCAGAATTGCGAGTTATGTCGCAGTTGTGACTTTATATCTCGTAATTCTGACTTTATAACTCGCAATTGCGAGTTTATATCTCACAATTCTGAAAAAAGTCAGAATTGTGAGATTAAAAAGTCGCAATAACCTTTTTTTTTATTTTTTATTCAGTGGCGGAAATGGACTTCCATACACACCTCTATTTTCAGACAAACTCTTACCTGTCTCACACATCTAAACATTTCCCTGTCTTCTCTCAGTGGACACACGTCTGCCGTTCCAGGCTGAGATGTTCATTCAGAATGTGATTCTGGTGCTCTTCTGCTTGGGTGTGATTGCCAGCGTGTTCCCGTGGTTCCTGGTGGCAGTAGGGCCGCTGGTCCTCCTCTTTATAGTGCTGCACATGGTTTCTCGGGTCTTCATTCGAGAACTCAAACGATTAGACAACATCACACAGTCACCTTTCCTGTCCCACATTGCCTCCAGCATTCAGGGCCTGACCACAGTGCATGCTTATGGGAAAGAGGACGAATTCCTTCACAGGTGAATGCTGGGATATCAGTCTGCCTCACTTTATTGCATATTTCTCCTTAAACGATAAGACTTCCAGCGAGCACGGTTGATGGACTTTGTCTGTGTGTTTTCTCCCAGGTATCAGGAGCTGCTGGATCAGAACCAGGCTCCCTTCTATTTGTTCAGCTGTGCCATGCGCTGGCTGGCTGTGCGTCTGGATGTGATTAGCGTGGCTCTCATTAGCATCACGGCTTTGATGATCGTCCTCATGCACGGCCAGATTCCTCCTGCTTATGCAGGCTTGGCCATTTCCTATGCCGTGCAGGTGAGGGGATATTGTGTAAAATGTTGTTTTTCCACTTTTAAATGGATAGTTCACCCAAAAATGATAATTCTGGCATTTACTCACCCTAGTGTCATTCCAAACCCATAAGACTTTGGTTCTCTTTCTATCTTTGAAACCTGGACTTTCAATGGAGGGACAGAAATCTCTCAGGGTTTCAAAGATTATCCAAAGTCTTATGCGTTTGGAATGACATGAGGGTGAGTAAATGATGCCAGAATTTTCATTTGTTGGATAAACTATCCCTTTAATTCTACATTTTTGTGTGTATAAAGGTATTTTCACTCTAAAGCTTTTGGTGTAGACCAGTGGTTCTCAATTCCAGTCCTCGCATACCACCGCTCTGCACATTTTGTATGATTCTCTTGTCACTTCAGACGTTTGGTGTAGTGCAAATCTGTGAATGAATGTTCTGAACAGATTTCCCATGCTCCTCCCTGAGCAATGAACACTGTGTAGGGACCATGTCAATCGGTACACAGTTCATGCATGGAGCTCTCTTCTAACGAGCTGGTGGTCTGAATCGTGTGTGTTAAATAAGAGAGACATGTAAAATATGCAGAGCGGTGGACCACAATGACTGGAATTGAGAACCACTGGAGTAGATCATGTTTTGTAAAACATTTTTTTTAAACTCTTGAAAATCCTGAAAACAGGCTTGGGATATGGTTCATATAACTTTGCAGTCGTTATAAAAGCAACACAGCCTATTTTCCAGAAGTAAACCACAAATTATGATGTCAAGTGGAGGCAGAACAGCAAATGCATTTCTCATCACTGCTGAGAAAATCCCACATTCTTTGTATCTGTGGCAGAATAATGCAAGTGCCATTCTGTGCATGTTATGCCTTTTGCATGATTGGTTTTCTGCCAAAACAGGTGCCACTAGTACTCACGGCGGTATTCATGTTGATGACGCAAATGTACAATGGTTTAGAGCCAAATATCATAATGTGAAAAGAGATCTGCGGTGAAATAGGGAGGGAATCGAACTCCAGTTTGGACCAAATAAACAAAACAAGTGTGAAAACACTCTTAGACTTGATTGACAAGTGTAGGACGCAGATATTTCCTTTAAATGAGATTTGCAGATTAACTAAATCTATATAAAAAAAGTTACCTAAAAACTAGAATAATGTTAACTGGAAAAAAAGCTTATTTGAAGTACTAAAATAACTATAAACTAATAAATAGTGCTGTCAAACGATTAATCGTGATTAATCGCATCCCAAATAGAAGTTTTTGTTTACATAATGTATGTGTGTGTACTGTGTATATAAAAATGACGATAAAAATAAATAATTCCAAATATATTATATCAGTGATACTAAAATAATAATTGATTGTACGTGGCTGAACATCTCTTTCGTCTCTCACAGCTTACAGGGTTATTCCAGTTTACTGTTCGCTTGGCCTCTGAGACCGAAGCTCGGTTCACCTCAGTAGAGAGAATCCATCATTACATCAAGGTACTAGTCCTGCATCATTGACGATTTCAACTTGACATTAAAAGCTTCTCTTCCAGACGTCTGTTGTCACTCTTTTACGATGAATTCAGAAAGGATGAAGTTCTACCTTTGCTTAGTCACCTCTGTCTGTCTTAGTCTCTGTCTCTGGAGGCTCCTGCAAGGGTGAAAAACAAGGCTCCTCCATCTGACTGGCCCCAGGAGGGTGAGATCGTGTTTGATGGAACGGAGATGAAGTACAGAGACAACCTCCCAATGATACTGAAGAAAGTTTCCTGCTCCATTCGACCAAAAGAGAAGGTCGGGATTGTGGGACGAACAGGCTCAGGTCAGTCTCTTCTCCTTGTGTCTTTCCTCAACAGTTAATATGTTTCATTTTTCTTTTCTCTTTTTATTATAATTTTGTTAAAATCTACAACAAATTCCATCCCACAAATAAATAAATAAATAATACAGAAATACAAATAAAAAGAGGGTCTGTGTGTGGCTCATTCACATATATAATAATGGCAAAAATATATTCTTTATGGTTTTAAATACCTAATAAAGTATATAGTGTGTAATAACAGAGGTTAATAACAAATGTTTATCAAGAAAAAATTCTTATGCAAGTCAGATATTCAACTTATGCTAACTTTTAGAATCAAGCCTTTTATGAAATGACTTTGGATGAAAATAGTATATTATATATATATAAATATTTAATATATAAACATAACGTTAAACATAAACATAATATATAAACATAACACGTTTTTCTGAAATATATAAAATGACTTTCATGGATGAAAATAGAAGGTGAAATCAGAGAAATGATGTATAATAAAGAGAAAAACAATAAATCTGCTTTCTCATCTGTCCTCAGGGAAGTCTTCTCTGGGAGTGGTTCTCTACCGGCTGGTAGAACCGTGTGGCGGCTCCATTAAGATTGATGGTGTCAACATTTGCAACATTGGCCTTGCTGATTTGCGCAGCAAACTGTCAATCATTCCACAGGAGCCAGTGCTTTTCAGTGGTACTGTCAGGTAGGCGGGACCTCATCAGACTTGTGCTGTATCTCAGCTGATTCCCAAAGACCATTTCACACGTATCATGTTAGGGTGTCGTGCATCAGGAACTCATGGACACTAACTGTTCAACAACATCAACACTGAAATGAATCAGCACGGAACTGACTTAAGCTGAATAATGACATCACTGTCTTCTGTAGAGCTTATTTCCATCTTAACTTTACAGGTTTCATAACTGATGAATTTGACAAAATGAACACTGTTATTATCTTGTTTAAATCATTTGAAGCTGCTTTAAAACAATCTATATTGTATAAAGTGCTATATAAATGTGACTTGACATTGGGAAATGTTGACACGAGTCATGCAGATGTGTCTTAATAATCCTGCTTCATATGAATGTATTTATCTGTCAGTTTTCTTATTTAGTCATACATCTGCATTCTGTTTTGTGTTCAGATCCAACTTGGATCCATTTAACCAGTATTCAGAGGAGCAAATCTGGGATGCCCTGGAGAGGACCCACATGAAAGAATGTGTAAGCTAAAGAAAACCCTTCGAAAGTGACACCATGTATAACGTTTACAGGAAGTAGAATTAGTTTCAGGTTGTCCACTCTGTCACATAGCAGCTTGTCATTTTGTCTCTCACACCTAAGGGCAAGTATTTGTCTCCGATGACTTCTTGTTGCTCTTGCCTCCATCTTATCATAGTTTTCCCACGGCTTTGAATCTATGTAATTCATTGTCTCGCATCTCCTCTCTGTTGTTCAGGTGTCTCAGCTGCTTTTAAAGCTGGAGTCCGAAGTGGTGGAAAACGGGGAGAATTTCTCCGTGGGTGAGAGACAGCTGCTCTGTGTGGCCCGAGTTCTTCTGAGACAGTGCAAGGTGAGTTAACAGCCCGACTTTGAGCTTGTCTGTTAGAGAGAGCCGATCGGGATTAGCTGATAACGCAGAACAGACTTTGTCTCATTTAACTGGGTCATCCACTTAGTTTCCTCCCGATTTTTAGATCTTGATCCTGGATGAGGCCACAGCGGCTATGGACACAGAGACCGACTGTTTGATTCAGGAGACGATTCGGAATGCGTTCCAGGACTGCACCACACTGACCATTGCACATAGATTGCACACGGTGCTCAGCTGTGACCGTATCATGGTGCTCAATCAGGGCCAGGTACAGTATAGCAGTCTGATGACTAGTTTTGATTAACTATTTTAGAGTGTGTGGTGGTAGGGTCAGAAACTAACTTTTCCATTAAGGGGCAATATTGCCCCCTGGAATTGATTTCCAGGGCATTTTTTTTTACCTTTGTAGGGGCAATTTTTACAATTACCTTTATTAAATATCAGATACTTAAATGTAACCAATTAATCAATCAATCAATCAGAATGCTATTCATAGCTTTCAGTCACGTGACCGGCTCGAAGACCTAGAGGGCAGAACATCCATAGAACTGCAGGACAAATACTTTTTTGCGCAAATAAAACAAAAATAATGACTTTATTTGTGCAGCGTGTGGCGGCGCACACGCTCGTGTCATGGTACTGTCGTGAACGCGCGTCCACAAGTGATGCAGTAGAGATGAAAATGTGGAATAAAGTCATTATTTTTGTTTTCTTGCGCAAAAAAGTATTCTCGTAACTTCGTAACTTTACAGTTGAACCACTGATGTCACACGGACTACTTTGTCGATCATCTTGGTACTTTTCTGGACCTTGAA